CAATTAAATAGCATTTATACAAAATGGAAAGTAATTGTTTTATTAAATATAGAAAATTTGATATTATAAATTAAAAAAATTAAGTACGAATTAAAATTCCAATGTGTGCTTAGTTAACGATAGTTTTATTATTGAATAAAAAAAGCAGGATTTTTTTTAAATTTTTTTTCTTTTATGTTAAAAGTAGCATTTAATTACAATTATATAAGTTTTTATTTATAGAGTTATTAATTTAGTTTTTAATAAATATTGATATGCAATTGTCAAGTGATTTTAAATATCATTGTATTGTATTTATATATACGTAGTTATTAATTTAATATATAAAGTTTAATTTGGAAAGTACTATGTTGAATTGGGTATTAAACACTATTGTTATTTAAAAGAAGAAATAATCAAGTTAGAAACTTTTTTTGTAAATAATTATTAATTATTGCTTTAGCTTCTATTGCTATTATAATATATTTTTATATATTGAAGCAAGAATCATATGTGTATGTACGTACGTATGTACGTGTATACCAGGGAGTATGGTTTAATGCTATAATGGCAAGTAAAGGGTATATCCAAATTTATGTATCTGATTGGATTTCTTTTTTATGTGAACTTGACGCCACAATATTGTATAACAGTATTACGTACGTACGTACGTACGTATTATGATACTTCCAAATTTGGTAGTATTTTTTTATTGCTTTAACAGGTTTTTGTCTCGATTACAGTAAAGTGAATGACAATCAATGCTTTTTTTTTATTATCATATTTCGGAATTGAACTAACTAAATATTAGATAGTCTTAACGGCTTATTCTGAAGCTGGTTTTATGCACAATGGAGTTAAGCTGCTGACCAAAGCCGTTGAGCCATAGTGTTCGAGCTTTTAACTATAATTCAGCGTCAGCTGCAACTGAATCTAGATTAAACCATAATTATCGAAGCCACGACTTGTGATATTGCTAGAGCATGACTTGGCCATGTTCAAATTGTGGTAAATAATATCGATAATCTTTGTATTAAATATTAGTACGTTGATACTGTAACAATGATTTTAAAGTAATACATATAGTATTTAAAGAAACTATGCAAACATTAATAACTCTAAAAATCTTTAATTTAATGAGTTGAAATTGGTCTATAAAAACATGTAATCTCATATTTTCACATGATATTTAATTAAGTATTTTCTTATTAAAATCAATTGAACATTATCGTTATCAATCAATATACGTATTAATTAATTTCTCGTTTTAATTTTTATATTCATATGATTTAAGGTTCCATATATCAGGCACATAAATTATAGATCGAAACTTGATTTTTAATTGGTGAAAAGTAATTTAACCAGTAAGTAGGTTCATTATTACGATAAAAAAAGAAGGTTAAGCCATTTTTTTTGTCAGGCTTCAGTAAAATTACATTAAGGATCGCTTCAATTCAAGAATTAATCGTAGTACTTATGTATGATGTTGATAGTTATTATTCTAATAACGTTAAGAGCGTCCTTAGTTGATTATTGGTATAATTGGTCTAAGTATTTAATAGAGCTGTCTACAATTTATTTAGTTTCTTATCTATATTAGCTTGTATAATTATTATCTGCCAGGAATATTTCTAAATTATGCAGATTATTATAAATGGATTCATACAGTATAGGGTGTGAAATACCCCTATTTTTAATCTCTGTTCCAGCGTTATGTATTATTAAGGTTAGCATTAGAAAAATTGTAGTAGATTGTTCTATGTTTTTTAAAGGGGAATTTCACACTATACTATACATCTAAAACTCATATGAAATTTTTTGTTTGTTTAATTGTAGTATAATGTATTTAGTTGTATACCTGATATTTATTCATTTAAATTCAGAGTTATAATGGTAACTCATATAACTATTCTGTATTGGAGTTGTATAACATATTTTAATAATCTTCTGTTTTTGGTTTAGCGCGACAATATCGTGCAGCTAATTATATCTAGATTAACAATTATTAGATAATTAGACAGGATTTTACTACAAAAATCAAGTTTTTAATAGGAGTTGCATATGTTCATATGATATTAATAAGTATATTTAATTGCTAGTTTTGTAATAATTTTTAAAATAAAATTGATAATAGAATAATAACGATTAATAATTTTAGAATACTAAGAAAATTATGGTAATTGATTTATTTTTCTTTTTTGTATAGTTAACTATTGAAATATGTATTAATTATATATAGATATATTTCAAAAGTTTTTATATATAGTACATTTTTAAAAGTATATAACTTTATATATAAAAACTATGATAATTATTTATATAGCACTTTAAAAAAAACCCTAAATATAGGAACTTTTTGGATACCCGGTATGTAAATACAGTTAGACCTTTCTAAGTATACTCTTTATAAGTGCATATACGTACTCCCTAAATGTATAATCAAGTGCTAGCTAAATATATGCTTAAACTTCTTAAATGCACTTTTTTTTATTATTCGTTATATGCACATTATTAAGGTGTAATCTCAAGTGCATACGCTTAGAGAGGTCTAACTATAGATATGTTATACATATATTAAAATTTATTATATTTAGATTTTTGGAATTTTTTAAGATTGCACTTGTAGTAATGCTAATGTTATTTACGATTGAAATTGAAGGTGTTTAATTATATAGGAATTCTGGCCAAATAATTTTAATTATAATTGAAGATTATTTTTAATGATTAATTCTGAGTATTATAATTAGATATTAAGAATTTTTAATATACGATCATATTTTATTTTGTTCAAAAAATACTTTATTTAATAATATGTAAATAAAGAAAATTTGAAATAACTTGATAATTTAATAAATAAGAAAATAGCATAGTAAGAAAATATTTTGATAAATAAAAAAAAATATTTGATATATAAAAAGATATAGTAAAAAATAAAAAATTTTTACTGGCGATTTAATATGAGTTGTATTTATTCTTTTTCAGAATTTGGGATATCATTAGTTAAATTATTATTATGTGGTTTTTTAGTATTGCGTGTAGCTCGAGTTGTAGGTTCTTTACCTTTTTTGTAATTTTTTTGAGTCGCATTATTAGATTCCATTAATTTTTCACCTTGGTTTGCATCTTTTAAATTTGATTCATTTTCATTAATATGGTTGTCTTTTTTTGTTTGTGATGGATATACAAACAAATCATCTAATTCTTCAGATCTCTTACGTTTTGCTGAATGTGTATTATCATTTGATTGGTTGTTTTGATGTATATTGTTCGAAGAAGATGGTATTATATTATTATTATTTTGGTACATGTTTTCAATATTACTTGAGGAGGATGGTGTTACATTATTATTTGGTTGTTCATCTTGATTTGTAGATGACGTATAATTGGCAATATTTTCAGAATTATTGTCCATACTTTGATGAAGGTGTAAAAGCTTAGATCGAGTTGGATTAGTCAATAGTAAGGTTTCATTATTATTTGCACTAAGATCTTTTTTTTTTGGTAATAAAATTAGTATCAATATAACTGATTTCATTAGCATAAACATAATATTTATCTCCAATGATCTCCATTTGTCCAATTACATAAATAATTGACTCTTGTGGACGAATGGTAGTTTTAAAATGGCTTAGTCGTGGATTTACATGTGAAAAAACCACTTTAGCTATGTAATTGATATGTTGACTATTATAATCAGATATGAGTGTTTCAATAATAGAATTTTCAGTATTTTTGATTTCAGTTGACGCTCCTTGTGGAACTCCTACTAAAGAGACCTTTAAGGGATATTTATTTGAGTCTAAAGCTCGATCAACAATTGTTAAGTGAGTTGAACCGAAAACTATCATCTAAATATTAAATTAATTATAAGTTTTAATTTTAAACTATATATAAAAATATTTACTATAAATACTTTTGGTCGCATATTTCCAGAATAGTTTCCAGATACAATCTTTCCGCTAACTGAATAATATTCATCTCTTCTAAAGATTGCTTGGGATTCAGGGTCTCTGTCACCAGAATTTGTAGGTACAAATAAAATCATTTCGATTTCATTAGTACCACATCCTGTTGGATATGTTCCAATAGCCCATACTGAAAATATCTTAGCATCTTCTTTTTCATTTCGTCGCACACATTTAACTTTTATAATCGTGTTCGCGTAACAGGGAATTATTTTAGACTTTTATTTAATGAATAGATATCAATTATTAACGTTCAAATAATTGTAAAATAATAAAGGCTTTAACCAACTATATATATAAAAAAATTGATGGGAATGAATTTATTGGTAAATACTTATTATAGCTTAATGTAAAATATTACAACATATAGCGATAGTATTAAAACATTTATGTTATAAATTACTATAATGTATTGATTATATGATAATATTGCCAAAAAGATTATACAATAATTTTGCCAAGAATAGTATATGTATATGCACAATTTTTCTCATCTTTGTGTATATATGCTTTGAACTTAAAATCTGGTAAAGACAATATCGATATTGTGTTCAAAGTTTCATAATGAATTTAAATGATGAATTGGTTAAGTATAATTATTATAATAGCAGGATTTTATTCTTGAAAAGCTTTATACATAAAACATTTGTTAATGTGATTCAATCAGGTTTCAACGTTCTATGAGTTATATAAAAATAAAAACTTGAAATAAAGTTTTGCATTTTGGAAGTCAGATATTAGAAAGTTCTGCATCTTGTAATCCAGGTATTAGAAAATCGAACATATATCGATATATAACTAAATTCAAAAAGCATGTCTTACACAAAAATACTATTTCTAGTAATCAACAACACTAATCTTAAATAAGAAATCTATTTGTATACTGCACTTGATAACGATCTAAAGGTGCTTTTTTTAGAAAGTTATCGTTAAGAATGATACGTACTAAATCAATTTTTTTTTTTATGACTTATAGATTTATTGATTTTGTGGTATAAAACTAATTGACCAATCAAAATATATAGCCAATAAAATTGCGATTTGAAAACTTTGGATTATATATAGATTGATTATCATGAATTATTTATTATCTGGTTGCAAAAACTCAAACTGAGAACAATGGAATGATAAGTAATATGCACAATAGCAAATTCAATGTTTTGATACTGGAGTCAGTAACACTAGTCAAAATCTAGATGTGTGTTAAAAACAAAAAAAGCAATAGTTTTATGAACTTCCTTATACCAGGAGTGGAGTGATATGCAAAGATGTTTGTCCGCAAAATCTTGCATTTAATTGGGTGTAAAATGAGGCGAAGCAGAGATGAGAATACATATTGTATTCATCATATATTACATATTCGCATGCCTGTGTAATGCTTTGCTTATACTGGTTAATGTACATACTACTTGAATAAGATATATTTTGGAACATAAATCAGGATTAATTAATTACATGTTTGTGTATACATGGTATTTGCATTAAGCTGGCTTGAATTTAATCTGCTTAAAATGTCTTGATAATCTTTACAAGATATATTCTTTATATAGATAAAAATTATGAACTGCTTGATAATTGGTCGTACTTAAATTATTGAGCTTATTTTTTGCTGATTATTTCTCTGCTTTGAATGCGCTAAATAAAGTTTTGCTATAAAGTATCCTTTAAAATTAACATTTTGTTTACTATAGAAATATGTATTATACTATTTATAAAAAGAGACCTGATTTATAAAGATCTGATTTCTATTTTTATCATTGATTTAAACACCTATCACTATTATGTTAGTTTTACATTATAAATATTAAGCTATTTGAATATAAACAATACTTATAAAAACATTATTTACATTTATGTGTAAGCTATGCTTATTCTTTAAACTTATCATATTCTGTTCGCCAAAGTACCTGTGTGATGCAATTTTTTTACAATTGAAAAATTTTCGAATCACGAGTATTACATATTACATGATGTATAAATAATATTTTAAAAATTATGTCATTTGTCATGCTGGGTACTTTGGTGAACAAAATATAGTATTATTATGGAAATATATAGGTCCAATTCAGCCTCTAACTAATCCATCATAAACCAGCTTAGGAACAGGTTTCATACCTCTATCAGAACCCTATTTAATTCTAGAGCTAGCGGCTTTAGATGATTGTTTGGCGTAAAAAAAAATAATAATAAATTAGTTATAAAGCATTTACTAATTCGGTTTAAGCTTAATTATTAAATAATCATTCAATTTGTGAATTTTTAAAGCAAAAATTCCAATTTTGTTCATACTGTACATATCAGTATTATATGAAAGAAGATAAGATAAAACCTGTTTATCTTGCCATAACTCATGCAATTATCTAGCTACTAATTTAAACTTACTAATTTAAACTAGACCTGGTTTAGACACAGCCTGACTCTATTCACTGCAAAATGCTTAACATTATTAACTATAGATCTTCTACAGAGGATTACCAAATTTTTGGGTTGTAATGACTAAAATGTGTCGTGGTTAGAGTTAGGGTTAGAGCTGTATTAGGGTTAGTGGAAGTTATAGACTATAGTAAAATTATCAGCTAAGCATTTTTACTTAATAAATGACTATTGTTTTATTAGTAAAATTCTTAGTGATCTTGGGGCAAAATTGATCAACTCTGGCTTTTCCAACTAGAGTTCTGAAACTTCTGACTCAGAATTTTGGAGATCTTCCTGTAGGAGTTTTAACTATAGTTGCCACAACAAAATTGGACTAGCAGATCCTCGATTTTGATTGGCTAACAACTGAAAATCTTCAAAACCTTGGCCTACATTACAAAATTGTTTACTAATTTTTGGCTAAAATTAACTTTTTATTTTTTTTATTACAAAAATATAAATTCTTAAAAAATAAGCCTATATTTGGTAAAATTGGCCCAAGAACATTAGTAAAATTATAAGTAATTCTGGTCTAATTCTTTGATCATCACTTTTAGCCAATCAAAATCAAGTATGTAGCTATAGTTAATTTTAAAATCCTAATTAGCATTAGTGTATATCTATTAATATAATATCTTCTATTCTAATCTAACTTTAATATAAATTTTTTATTTTAAATATTACACCTAATTTGATTCTTCGAAGAGATCTGATTGGTGCATATTTATCGTTATCTCAAGCTAATAAATTAAAAATCTCTGGTAATAATATTATATATTTTTTTCAAACTTTGAATGAAAATACCTGTAATTACCTATTGAATCTATATTACAGAATAAAAATAAAAAAGTTTTCATTGATTTTAGATATAATACTATTAATCAAAGTTTTGAAAAACACAACTGCTAAGTTTGTTTTAATAATTGCCTTAATTCTTTTTTAACTTCAAACAATAATTTCTCAGTAGCAAAGTCAGTAAAGTTTATTTATATTACTTTAATGAATCCATAGAATAAAAATAAAAAAACTTAATTAATTCTGAATATGCAATGCATAATTTTACTGCAGTAGCCTGCTGAGTTTATAAGCATACTATGATAAGATTTGATTAGCCAATTTCAATGATCATTATTATATAAATTATTAAAAAAAAGAGCAATTAAATTCATTTTATTAAAAAATTTTAACATATAATCAGACCCCTAAATGCACCTTCCCTAATGCAGCATCCCTCTAAATGTATAATATAAGCCAAGACCCATGGTGGGATATATAGATAAATGCATATCCTTTATTCTGTAAATACATACTAATTGTCTGGCCTGCTTATAAAAACCCCTTATAAGTGTATTTATGTACCAATCAAATCTATTATTTCTATGCTACTAAAACCATATTTATCATATAATAATAGCGTATTGTGATTTTAATAGTGTTCTCTAATTGCAACCTTCTCTAAATTCATACTCTAGAGCTAGTCCTAACAATATACATTTAGAGAGGTCTAACTGCATTAGCTTAAACTTTTGGGTTAGGTTCAGGTTGAAGTTCTTATCAAAAGTTGTTAGCCTGACCTGTTTGGAGCACTAATTACTACACACAATATGTAATTAAGTTTAGTGTTAGCAGTAGAATTACTAAATTAAGCATTATAGCATTCTACTATATAGTATAATAAATTATGACAAAAAATCTAATTACTGTAAATATTATGTATTATAATACCATAATGATATAATTAGAGATTAAAATTGGTTTAGTCAACTACTAAATTTAGTTGACTAATTAGTCAATTAAATATAGTAGTTTACTATAAAAATTTTTTAGTTAATTAAATCAATTTCGATCCTTATAATGCTATAATGCTATAATGTCATAATACTATAGTATCTTTGTAGTATAATAATGCGACTCTATAATACTACAATACTATTCCTTAAATTGTAACACAGACAAATTTGTCTACGAAGATTTTTACTAATTTTTTTAATAT